CTCCCACTCCGACACCCTGTGGTCTGCCGGTGAGAAAGCAGTGAATCCAGGAGCAGAGTGTGGTGTCTAGTCCCAGATGGCCAGGCTTGGTTATTAGTTTATGGGGGTGATGGTGTTGAAGGTTGAGGTAAAATCCACTCATAGCATCCTAATGTAGGTGTTTGGATCCTCTAGGTGGGACAGGACCGTGTGCAGTGAAGTTGAGATGGCATCTTGTGTTGATCTGTTGGCTCTGTAAGCAAACTGGTCCAGATCAGCAGGAATGGTGCCCTCTGCAGGAACAGCCTCTCCAAGCACTTCATTATTAATGGTTTCAGGGCAGCTGGGCGGTAGTCATTCAGGCATTTCCCTGCCTGTTTCTTGGGCACTACGGTGGTAGACTTGAGGCATGTGGGGCAGCAGCCTGCTGTAAGGACAGGATGTCTGTAGATGCCTGCCAGCTGGTCTGCACATGACTTCAGGGTTCGACCCTGTCCGGTCCTGCCGTCTTGGTGATGTTGATCTTCTTTAGCATTTTACTGAAAGGCAGCATAGCAGGATGTAGAGCTGCAGACTGGTAGCTCATGTAGTGAGACTGAATGGAATCACTAAAGCAGGAAACCCGGTTAAACAATTCAACACGTCTCCATTCACTGCAGCCACAGCTGCACCACATACACCACATCCAGCAGGAGCATCAGTACCAGCCCAGAACATGACTAAAATATACATTTACTCACTATAACCTGTGATTGTTTGAACACAATTCCATCCTCCTCTAATTCGCTGTAGGGCTGACAATGTCCGCTTGCTGAACTTAAACAACCAAACGTAATACTTTTATATAAAGTTTTATCTTGTGCAGGTCGCTACAGACAGGAACTGCTAGCTTTAGCTGAGCTATCTGACCATCCAATCAGAGGACGTGATGGTGCTGATATCATCATAAGCCAGTTAGCGGGCCATGGGACCACCAACTCTCAATCTGATTGGTTAAAGGGACCACCAACTCTCAATTTGATTGGTTCAAGCAACAGTTTCATTACAATGCATTTTAAGTTACAGACGCTTGCACAGAGATGAAGTGAAACCCCAGAAGACTGGTGCAGCGAGAACAACCTGCTGCTCAACGTGGACTAAACCAAGGAGATGATCATCAACTTCTGGAGGTCACGTCCTGAGCATGCTTCCTTCAGCATCAACGGCTGCACAGTGGAGAGAGTGGAGAACATCAGGTTCCTCAGAGTGCAGATCTCCAGGACCTGAGTTGGAATAAGAATACCACAGCGATCATCAGACGGTCCCAGCAGAGGCTGCATTTCCTGAGGAGGCTGAAACCAGCCTCTCTTTCCTTTCAGCATCCTCAGGACTGTCTCCAGAGGTGTGGTGGAGAGCGTCCTGACATCCTGCATCTCCACATGGTCCTCCAGTTGCAGTGTGTCAGACAGAAAGCCCTGCAGAGGATAGTTAGAGGAGCTCAGAGGGTCTCCTCTGTCCAAGAACTTCTCCAGAGCTGCTGCAGGAGCAGGACCCTGAACATGGTCAGGGACTCCTCACACCCTCTCCATCAACTGTCTGGACTGCTGCCATCAGCCAAACATTTCTGGAACGTTGAAGGAAGAACCTCCAGACTGATCAGCAGCTTCATGCCACCAGCTGTCAGAATGCTGAACTGGTCCAGAGATGAAATGAAATGAAATGAAAAATACTTTATTTATCCCAGAAGGGAAATTCCATCCATTTTCTACACACCGCTTAATCCTCACTAGGGTCGCGGGGGGGCCGGAGCCTATCCCAGCCGACTTAGGGCAAAGGCAGGGGACACCCTGGACAGGTCGCCAGTCCATCGCAGGGCCACACTTAGAGACATACAACCAAGCACACTCACATTCACACCTACGGACAATTTAGAATCACCAATTAACCTCAACATGTTTTTGGACTGTGTGGGAGGAAGCCGGAGAACCCAGAGAGAACCCACGCTGCACAGGGAGAACATGCAAACTCCACGCAACAGTGCTACCAACTGCGCCACCTTGCAGCCCAGAAGGGAAATTCAATCTTGTAAAAGCTCACTTTTTTTTTTTTTTTTTTTAAATCAATATAACATATATTTTACACAACAATAATAATCATTCAGTCAGTCAATTGTCAGTCAGTCAGATTTGTTTTTTAAGGTGATGGCTGTTGGCAGGAGAGTTTCTGTATCTCTCCGTTCGACAGCGAAGCTGATGCAGCCTCCCACTAAACACACTCTGTTGATTTTTCACTGTGTTGTGGAGAGGGTGGGAAGAATCCTCCATCATCTTCATCATCTTGTGCAGCATTCTTTTTTGAACAATCAGCTCCAGTGGTTCCAGAGTTATCTGATGCCAACACTTCTTCATTTAAATGCTTTCAGTTCCTGGATCCTGAAGAAAGGCTCTCTCATCCTGCCTGTACTGCTGTGAACGTACAGCCCCATGACAACAAACTGGATCTGATGTAAGGCATCCGCTCACAAACCAGCGGGTGACGTCACGCGCGCTGCGTGCACGTTCCGTGCGCGCCGCCGCGTCCTCTGAGCGCAGCAGCGTCTTGATGTTCGGAGGCTGGACATCGGTTCGTCCTGCAGCTCTGGCCGCCTCGGATGGCGGTGTTCAAAAGAGCGTGACTGCGGCTTCGTGGGTGAGCTGAGCGGACTCAGGGACGGGTTCGGCGCCGGTTCTGTGGCGCAGAAGCTGGACGGTCGGATCCGGACGGCCGCTGCGGAGGCTGCGCACTGTTTCACAGGCAGGTACCACGGACGGTGTGATGTGGCAATAGAGGCGTGTCGGCGTTCTGGATGAACCGTTTAAAGAAAAACATCTTCCACGAACATTACAGCGATGAGCGCGTTCACAGAAATGTTCTGCAGCAGGAGACTGAAACCAGGGGCGGAACCAGAGGAGGCCCGCTGGGCTGAGCCCGGACACCCCGAGTCTCTGAGCGGCTGCATCTGACTAATGGTGCTGATGACTGATGGGTGGTGCAGCTGACTGATGGGTGCTGCAACTGACTGATGGGTGGTGC